TTAAATATCTAAAATCTGAAAATATACGATTGCGAAGACAAGTAAGATATCTGAAATATCGTTTACGTCATATTCCACAAAAACGTAAAACGTCAAAAAAAGATAAACAAAAGAAAATAATATTAAACAAATTGGTAGACGAACAAGATCTAAATCCTGTTGCGAAGGCGATGATAAATTTGCAACTGCATAAACGCAATGCAGCATATACAGAAGAAGAGAAAAATCTGTCAAGACAACTATATTATTATTCACCTGCTGCTTTCTGCCGCTTAAGAAAAGCAGGTTGCAATTTTCCAGGGCAACGAACTATTAGAAGATGGCTGGAAGAATATGACGTACGGCCAGGATTTTGTGATTTTATTTTTCAAAAATTAAAGGAAAAGATTTCTTATTTACCAGTAGAGGAAAGAGTGTGTGCCTTAAAATGGGACGAAATGGCCATAAAACCTTATGAAGAATATTCGCAAAAATTAGATGAAATAGAAGGTCTTGTCGATCTTGGTCCTCTAGGAAGAAAATCAGAAAGATCTAAATGCGTATTTGTCTTTTGCCTAGACAGTTTAAATGCGCGTCACCCATGGCGACAGCCTTTAGCATATTTCCTTCCGGGAAAATGCATGAAAGCAGAAGAAATAATAATATTATTAAAAGAATGTTTAGACAGATTGAGTACAACGGGTGCTGATGTGCAACTTTTAACATGTGATCAAGGCACATGTAATCAAAGTGCGTATAGTGAACTCGGTATTGATGCACAGAGGCCATGTTTTATACATAATGGAAAAAATATAACGCATCTTTTGATTTTCCTCATCTGGTAAAAAGATTGGCAAGTTTTCTTAGAACGCACAAAAACATTTATTGTGATGGAAAAATAATCGCATCGTATTCAGATTTTGAAATGACTTGGTATATTGACAATGCCACAAAAGGAGGCTCAAATTTATTATCCCATATAACAGAAGCACATATTCGTCCAAATAATTTCGAAGCGATGAATGTTAAAAGAGTTTTTCAATTATTTAGTCACACATTTGCAGCTGCAATAAGAACAGCTGGTAATGCAAAAGAATTAAATACGAGTACGTGGGAAGCTACAGCTGACTTTGCAACACGCTTAAATAATATTATTGATGCTTGTAACAGTTACAGCCTTAATATTACATTTGGCGGAAAACGACCATTATCCTTCAGAAATTCAGATATTGAAAATCTGTTAACAGATTCTATCGAATGGTGCTCAAGATGGTCAAAATCGGCGGAAAATCTAGTTCAAATTCCTTGTTTCAAAGGTTTTCCATTAACTATACGAGCTATTCTTGCAACTTATAAAAAACTTGCAAATCAATACGAAGGATTTGAACTTGCGACAGGATTGTGTAATCAGGATTCTGTCGAACATTTGTTTTCTAAATTGAGACAACGCGGAGGTTTTAATCCAAATCCAACCGCAAGAATGATCCGATTATCTATCAGACATATACTTTCCACAGGATATATTCAGACTAGCGACAAGGGCAATGTTCAATGTACAGAAGGTGTAACTCTTATTAATCGACCAAGTCGACTTGTTAAGACAATAGAAAAATGTCATGAATACGAGCAATGCGACTGTAGAATATATTGAACATGAAAGTGAATTGCTTGACGAAGATGTTAGAATTCTTCTCGAAGAATATAATATCGAACAAATTGATAATATAAATCCGATTGATAGCAATTACGATGAAAATGCCATTGCATTTTTTGCCGGATTTGTGGCACGGCGAAGTATTGCTAAAAGTAACTGTGACGATTGCCGCAACGCAATGATGAAAACACCAATGGATGAACCTGCAGCAAATGAAAAATATATAGAATTTCGTGAATATCCAAATACAGATGAAGATGCTCCAACAGTAACAAAATTAGTACGACCAACAACTCTATACACAAATATTACTAAAACGCAATTAATGGCGTTTAATTGTACATGGCAAAGCCATTGGTCATCCACACAGATGCTTGAAAAAATAGTGACGGAATGTGTACATGCAACGAATCAAATTCATCCAGATTGGTTAGATAAAAATAACGAATGTTATAATCATCGGATGCAAGCATTAAAATACATGATTACTGTAAAAATATATTCCCGTACGAGATATAACAATCGTACTGCCAAAGTAGTTAGTGCATCATACAAAAAAGTTAAGAGATTTATAAATAAATAAAAGTATATATAAGAAAAGTAAAAAATAAAGGATACTAAATGTAAGATCATCTTGAGCACTATTATATTAATTACAAATAAGAAAAAAATGATATGAAGAAAGAAAAACCACAAAGGTCTAAAATAATATCATTATTAATAATTCATTAAAAAAAAAATATTTAAGAATTTTATATAAAATTTATTTAATAAATTTTATAAATATTTTATACATTTATTTATTAAATATTTTATATTTATATTTATTTTATATTATTTTATTATTAATTAATAGTAATTAATATTAATATATACATCTTATATTATTTTATATATATATAATAATATATTAATATTTATTAATTTTAATATTTAAAAAAATTAATGCAAGGAATAGAAAAAACATAAAATAACGTGGAACGTAGTAAAAATTATCTAGAAAAAGAATTATTTTTTAATATGAGTATTTTCTATAAAATAATATAATTTCTTTATTTTGTAATTTTGAAAAAAATTTCTTCATTTTTTTATTGTTATATATATCTTGCATAATTTTGTCATTGAAAAGAAATATTTATACTGTGTATCATGAAATTACATTCATTAAAATATGTTTGCAAATCATGTTACATTTAGTAATGAGTATTATTTTCCTGTAATGAGAAAAATAAGCATGAATTTTTCAATTTCTTAGAAGATTGCAATCACAGTTGAAACAAATTACATAAATCGTTAACTAGCAGGTTTAATCACGGACTAAATAAAATATTTTTATGCAATCATGCTAAGAAATTGTAAAATCATGTATTTTCTGATTACTAATGACATATAACACGAGATATATATAATAATAAAATTTTAAGAAAGTACAGTAACACGGTACAATAAATGAAATCTATCGTATATGTATTTGTTGGCATACGGTATTCTAATATAATCATAGAAGATACATATGAATACCGTTAATAATATAGTATACAGTAAGTGATTTTGACAAATCACTTACAATAATAAGACGCCTTAACAGAAATAGATAACAAAAGACATCAAAATATATAACTGATTCTTTTAGTTATAGAAAATCTATATTATATGTAGATTTCCCGTGATAAGACCTGTTAGTTTGAGCGATTTATGTAATTATTTCAACTGTGATTGCAATCTTTACGTCATGCATATCTAAATGCCAACTAAAATACATATACACATATGTACCTAAATCTTTAATTACAATATATTATTAATTTTTTTAAACATACGTTCCACGTTAACATAGTAAATATGATTAAATACAAATTATTTAACAATATCTTTTTTCACAAAATATATGTTTTATAATAATGAATACTTTTAATTACAGCTTTTTTTTTAGAGCGGAGGGTTTTTTAGTGGGTGAGAGTCCCACATACCCCCGTCGGACGGCCGATGGGAAATGCATAATGCATTTTTCCCTTCCTACAAAAAAAAAAACTGATATATACAGGATTCCGAAATTCGCGAGTCAAAATAGTATAGCAAAAAAGTTCTTTAAAATAAATTAAAAAGTTTAAGCTATTTCTTATTCTAAACAATAAAATTTTTGAGGTAAAAAAATTTTAAATTGGCCAATTATAGATTACGATTTAATGGACACTTGAAGTGCGTAAAGTGCATGGTCACTACCCAAACAGCACACATATCCTAAAAACGTTCAGAGAACATTCTGAGGATGTTCGAATGTCCTCTGGATATCCTCTGAATATCTTTCGGATATGTTGTGCTATTAGGATATAACATAATCGACTCACGGATAGGCGTCCGTTTAATCGTATTCTGTAATTGGCCAATTTTAAATCTTTTTACCTCAAAAAATACTGTTTGGAATGAAAAATGGTAAAAATTTTTTAATTTACTTTTTCGAGAAACTTTCTTTTTATGGTACTTTAATTCGCAAAATTCGGGACACCTTATATATATATATATACATTTTTGTACACGTGGTATACGTATTAAATAAAAAATATTAATATACATATATTATATTATATAACAATTTTTGTATAATTTAAAGTTTAAAGTATATTTAATTATTCATTTAATTTTATTTAAATATATATTATTAGAAATTTTTTTTATGATAAATTATTTTCCATAAGTTTTATTTTTTTTATTATTTTTATTTTATAATATTATGTTAATTTTTTGTTATTTTTATACAAATATATTTATTTTATTTTCAATATTTATTTTCTTATTTTTTATATTTTTTGTGCAATCAATTTAATTTTCAGGGATGTTATTTTTGTAAATGAATATAAAATTATTGAAAATATTTTATAAATACAATTGATTTATTATTTCTTATTTTTTATTCATTTACAATTCTGATTTATTAAAAAAAAAAAAAAGAAAACATATGGTCTTGAACTCTGATCTTCGTCGTATTCTGGTCTATCAATTGTGGATGTAGCACGGACATGAACTAAATTTGGCTCTTTTACCGACATCGAAAGTGGATGTGGCCATGTAGTTCCAGACGCTCGTAAAATGGATGTACGTGACGCTAGTGAGCAGCCTAGAAAAAGCGTTTGACGAAAAACGGCGGCGTGGCTTCTCTCATTCTTCTCTCTGGACAGAGAAATGCTTTCATTCCCGAGTTTGAGCATAAATAAATAAAATACATAGAAGTACAGAGCCCGGAAATATTTAGCGTCGTACAAATCATGCAAGGCTATTCACGGCACATCCGACCAATCGCGAGGGACTTTCGTCGACCAATCGCGCGGCTCGAATGGAAGGGGAATACATGGAGGAGGCACGTCGCTCTTTTTCATAAACAGTGCACACTCTGCGTTCGACGCTCAGTCTTCTACGGTCATCTAGTGTTGGCGTTTGATTGCGTTTGACGTTCGCGTTGAAGAAGTCCGCTTCTAATCGAACAAGTTCTTCTCGTCGAAGGCGTTTCTCCTCGAATATCGTGAATAATCAGGTAAGATAATCGTGCCTCTCGAGAACCGACTACGCTCGACAGCTAAATGCGTGTCGACGATTCGCACCAGGAGTCCGCGCGAACGCGAAAATATTCCTCGAGCGTGAGTGAGAAATCGCTCGCGAATTCCACGTCTTCTCGAACGCCTTGGAAAAGTGCATCCAGACGTGTCCGCCATTTTGTTTATTGTGTATGTTCACTTTTGGAGGGAACTTGCCGTCAGATATATACATATATGAGTAATATCCAATGATAAGATATATATATATATATATATATATATATATATATATACACGCACACATAATTACGTATAATGATACAATTATGTGGTGACGCATTCATTTCGGCAACCTCGTGATTAATCAGCGCAATTTCGTATCGCGTGTTTCATGAATTTTCTGGAAATATCGTTCTAGCGTTTCAGAAAAAATCGTTTGGCTATACAATTGTGTTGTTCCGCCCTTTCTTTCCATCCCCTCTCTCTTTTGTCTTCCCTTTCCCTTTTCTCCTTCTCTCTTCTCGCCCCACCTTTCGCGATGGCTTTCCACGAGACTAAAGTGTCATAAACATTTCAGTCATGGCTCGTACCAAGCAAACAGCTCGTAAGTCGACCGGTGGAAAGGCTCCCAGGAAGCAGCTCGCCACCAAAGCGGCACGTAAAAGCGCGCCGTCCACTGGAGGCGTCAAGAAACCACATCGTTATAGGTATGTTTACCCCGGATTCGAGTAATTGCGATCCATTTATTTAACAAAAGAATAATGCAATTATTTCAAAAATGCAAAAGTCAATGTGACACATCAAAACTGAGACAATTTTCTAAAATTTATTCTAAATTTCAACAATATTATCGATTTAATTTATTTAATGCAACATTTTATATATTATCGCTTTGTAAAAAAATAAAACAATATTTAAAAATAATGTACAAAATATTTAAATTTAAATTAACGAGATATAAAATATAAAACACATTTAAATAACTGCATAATTTATTTAATGCAATGTTTTGTATATTATTATTTTGTAAAAAAATTAAAACAATATTGTAAAATTATATATATATATATATATATATATATATATATATATATATATATATAAAAGATATAATTAAATTTAAATAGATGAGATATAAAATATATAAAATAAATATTTTAATATAAAACTTTTCCATTTATTTACATCTGTACGTCTCTTGCAGACCTGGTACTGTCGCTCTTCGAGAAATTCGAAGATATCAGAAGTCGACAGAGTTGCTGATCAGAAAATTGCCGTTCCAACGTTTGGTTCGTGAAATTGCCCAGGATTTCAAGACCGATCTGCGTTTCCAGAGCGCCGCTATAGGCGCCCTGCAGGAAGCTTCCGAGGCATATCTTGTGGGTCTCTTTGAAGACACCAATCTGTGCGCGATTCACGCAAAGCGCGTCACAATTATGCCTAAGGATATCCAGCTGGCACGACGAATTCGTGGTGAACGCGCTTAAATCATTCACGTCGGTCTTTCTCATCATTTTCTTATCATTTGGACATTGTACGTTTTTCAATCTAAAAATTATACGTTTTTGACTTTCTTCTTGTGTATATTTACGATAGTTTACACACTGCCAATCATTCTAGTAGAGTTGCTAAGAAAAAGATAACGAGCGAGTCTGTAATAGATTCTGTAATTTGATAAAACATGACACATGATGATACAATTCATGATATAATGATGAAAGAATATTAAAATAACAAAAAAAAGTATAAATTATTTGTCTTTAACATGAAAAAAAGCACTGTAGAATCAATAATTTTAGTTTTTCATATCTGGGTAGAAAAAAAACATATACAGCAATATTGTATATAGATTTTGTGTACCCTTTTCTAGATAACAAATTCAAGAGTAGCATTTTATTTGAGAATTTAACCCATTTTGTTTTGTGGTAGTTTCCAGATTGTTATCTCATTCACAAAAATCTATAATGTCTTTACATACAATTAAAATAGCTAATACTTATATGGACTTTCATAAAATGTAGAGTAAAAACCACAACTGGAGATATATATCGCCTGTATGTGTGTGTTTATATATACGTATATGTATATACAGGCATACATATACACGTCTATTTATCAAGTGGAGAATAAGTTCGTTGTAGTATAATGTGGCATCGCATAAGTTTATTGTAGTGTAATATGGTATAAGTTTATTATAAGTTTATAGTAGTGTAATGTATGTGTATTATTCAAACATGTACACATGGCAAGTCGTATTTTTTGTTCTCTATCTCCATCCTAGAATTTAAAAAATTTACTCAAGTGATCCGTGTCTTTTAAGTGTACTTTACTTTACTATGTGTTTTATGCATACTTTATTAAAGATGCGACACTGAAAGAGTTGCATTTTTCATAAAATCCTCTCTTATTCAAATATTGATTTGTGTCACTGTTAAAATATACAGATATATAGAAGAAAAAATCTAATTTTTTTTATTTATGCAGGATTGTCTTCATTTGTTTTTACTCGTGCAGCTCTTTCGATGTCAGCTCTATTATTATAAGTTGTAATTATAATTATGAATAATAATTATATAGCATTATTGATATTGTAAGAACAGTACAGTAAAAATACATTTTCTAATCGATGTAATGGAAAACAAATTGTATGTGTGCTTCTTTACACACACACACACACACACATATATATTATATATTATCTAGTTCTATTATATCTAGTTTCTTTATATATATATATATATATATATATATATATATTTCTATTACATATAATGTATATACATATTTACATTTTTGTTTTACATTTACACTATAATCGAGCTGTCTATAACTCTAATTGTAAGTATACAATCAATCTCGCGCCTGTGCAAGTGAACACATTTTCTGCACGACGCTATCGATTCGTCGCTCGCGACGAGGATGATATAGTGTGTGTATGTGTGCGCGTACTGTATATGTGTTCACGGCATACATATTGCGCACAAAAATCTAGCGCAAATGCAAACGTATAATTGTGTGCGTGTATGTACATGTGCGCGCGCGCGCGCTTTCTGCTACAGACCGGACATCGATCTTTCGAAGATTTCGCTGATCGATAGTCGCGACGCTATACAGTACAGCATATCGGAGAATAGTCCTGCGCTACGTCACACGTTATTATCGCGCGATAGCCGCCTTTCTCCGCGTAAACAGTAGCGTCGCGTCATCGCTTTTCGACACACGTCGCGTATCGAACAATCGAATGAGATCGCGAGATTATCGGATCAAGGCGATATAAAAGCGAATAATTGCGAGAGCTGTAAGTAATTATATATGTATATATATATATATATATTTATATCTTTCTCTCTCTTCCCTCATGTCGAGAAATCGCACGCATGTTTCGGGACTATTTCGCGGGTACGCGTTGTGATTTGACGCGCTGCGTTACAAGTAACCTCGGTGTAATTTAACTTTCCTTCGACCTAGAACCCGATATCATCCGAACCAATTTATTCGACTCGTTAGGATAAGAGATATTTAATATTGAGACGCGAGAGAGGGAGGAAGGAGACTCGGCTCAAGTACAATATTTGTCATAACGAGATTGTCAATGACCGGGGTTGCTCGAAGACAAAGCCTCGGACCAGCAGCCATATCCTACATATGTGCTATATGTGGCTATGTAAAGGCATTGTGCCATCTCCTTTTATATACAACACACACATATATATATATATATATATATATATATATAATGTGTGTGTGTATTATATATATATTTTATATATATGTATATATATATATATATTTTATATATATGTATATATATATATATATATATATGTTATTTTCCATGTACACATACTTTATATATATATACATATATATATATAATAAAATGAGATATTTATAGCGATAGAAGCGGGATTAGACGCGAGTCTGCTCGGCGACTGGGAACAAAGCATCGCCGCGAAGGCTGACGTATCCACGTATGCGTCATATATATATACACATAAAGCCCCGCGTTAGTTTGGCATTCCGGCTTTTGTATCGATCTCGTCTACCCGCGCGGTCTAATCACGCGGGGGGGGGGGGGGGGGGCGATTTATTTACATTCACGAAACTCGTTATAATATAGTTTTTCCGCGGCGTCCATCGCGATCGATCGAATTCCGTCTCCCTATTATACCCGTCATCGGAACGACAATTTTCTCCGTCCGCGGACAATTGTTCGCGTTCTTCCGCGCGCGCGAGGAGGGGGGAGGGGGGGATGCGCTCGTGAGAGCGTATCGTAGTAAGATTTCGAGCGATTGACAGGGCACTCGCGCGCCGCACTCGATGCATCCGGGCGACCAATGCGGCGCGCCGGGCGACCGGAGGCTCGCAGTCGGATTGGCCGGCGGCGCACCGCGGAGCTCTATATGCCTCTCGCACGATTTAATTTCCAGGGGGGTGGGAGGGGGCGGGCGGGGGGGAGGGTAAGGGACGCGAGAGAGTCGTGACTCGGGGAGAGCGTCCACTGCCATCGGAGTGTGCGAGGATACGGGATAGTGTACCTAGTTCACTCGCGTCCGCTCGTGTTCGATATAATTCCGCTCGAGGTGGGTGAGAGTGGGATCGAAAAGGAATTGAGAGATTACAACGATTGCGGCGGATTTTCCGAAGACTCGAGAATCGCGGAGTGAAAAAAACTATGGAAATTCCTCTAAGCGCGGAAGAAAAAAAAAATAACGAGGCTTCTCGCGATGTTTCTCGACGGCGGCTCGCCACCATTTTGCCGAATGACGTTTTCGTGCTATCGGGTGTATTCGGATATCGGGAGGAATACGATGCTTTGGATTCGACGTGTTTTACTCGGAAAATCTCGGATTCCGCGAGAGCCGTCGTCTTCGTCGTCGGCCCCCGTCTCCCGGGGGAATCGTCGTGTCGCCCCGGGGAAGCGACGCGAATTCTTCGCCTGACAACGCGCGCTTTTTTTTTTCTCTCCGCCTTCCTCTCCCATTCCTTCGCCTCCTCGCGGGGCGAACGAAAGTTCGCGCATTGCGCAACGCGCGGCGTTCCTCGGCGCTCACGCGCGCTCTTCCTCCGCGTGAACAGCAACGGATTGTTCCCCTACCAGGATCACCCCCACTCTGCGTCTGCTCTACTAGAAGCTTTTCCCGCTCCCTCTCACCCCCCCTTGTGGTCCTGTCCATCTGTAAATGCATCGCGCGCTGCAGTCGATTGTATTCGGTCGCGCGTCAATTCGACTGTCAAAAATTTTGACAGATGACAGCTGATTGAGGAATGTCGCGTAATCGAAGAAATTGAGTTAAAAGTAGAGATGTAGAGCGAGGGAATTTTTTTTTTTTTCGCCGACTGAATTTTCTCACGCCACGCGCGACGTGCGATTTAATCTCTCTCCACTTTCCGATATGTTACGAGGGGAAAAAAAATATATAATTTAATCGATATCTTTTATCGCGACAGATTAAACCATGGCGCGTACCAAGCAGACGGCCCGTAAATCAACGGGAGGAAAAGCTCCCCGTAAGCAGCTCGCTACTAAGGCAGCCAGGAAGAGCGCCCCGTCCACCGGAGGTGTGAAGAAGCCGCATCGTTATAGGTACATTTACACACACACACACATATATATATATATATATATATATATATATATATATATATATGTAAAGCATATCAATATCAAAACATGTGGAAAATATTGAAAAATTAAAAAAAAATACAGCTAACGCACATGTTGCTTTGATTTTTCACTGTATTCGACGTTGGTACAAATTACAAATTATTAATATAATAATATTATAATAGTATAATTAATATAACTCTTATAATTAATTATAATTGTATATATATATATAAAATTTAATTATGATTATAAAAATAATAAATATAAATAATGTATAATTATAATTAAAAATGTTTCTGATATTCTTTGCAGACCTGGTACTGTCGCTCTTCGAGAAATCAGAAGATATCAAAAGTCGACGGAGTTGCTTATCAGAAAATTGCCGTTTCAACGACTGGTTCGTGAAATCGCGCAAGACTTCAAGACCGATCTACGTTTTCAGAGCGCCGCTATAGGCGCCTTGCAGGAAGCTTCCGAGGCATATCTTGTGGGTCTTTTCGAAGACACCAATCTTTGCGCGATTCACGCGAAACGCGTCACAATTATGCCTAAGGACATCCAACTGGCTCGGCGAATTCGCGGCGAGCGTGCTTAAGTGACGCTGTGTAACACATACATACCGTTTACTGCGATTATTATTATTATTAATATTAATATTATTATATTATTAATTACATACACATTACTGTTTGCAGTCGCGTCATGGATGAAGCACTTTCATTCCAAAACTTTGCGTACATATTTTATCCATATAGAGACACTAGGCGCTATCTAGCGCGCGTTATTGTTTGATTAATTTTCTATTCTCTGATGAATAAAACAATTTACAAGTTATGAGACAAAAGTTTTCTTTATTTTTTTTTATTTCTCAGAAGTCTGTTAAGTCTTCGATAGCTTTTCAGTTCAGTTATATCACATGTTTATGAAGTTTAATTTGAAATAGTTTCTCGTGCTAAAAAAGTTAATATAATGAAACACAAACAAAATAATTTTGAAGCCACGTTTGGAGATGGCGATTCTTTTTCACTATTTATCTTCTTATCATACTAATATACATAACAATGTCATTATCATTATTAGTACTTGCAAAAAGTGTGCACTAGAATAAGATACTCTCACAGTAAAGCTGAGATGTAGTGCTTAACATATTAGATCTCTGTACTCGAGTTACATACGTCATTTTAATCACCTAAGCGTTGTGTAAAAATTTGTGTAAAAATAAACGCATTTCGTATAAATAAATCTTCTAAATTCACATGACTCACTTTTATCTTACCTTACCTTGCGTTATCATATTTTTATCTAAACTTGTACTGCTCCTGTCAAATTTAAAATTCATGGTTTTATATAAAAACGTGTGTACGTCGTAAAATTAATATAATTTATTCGAATAAAATTTTCAGATTCATAATATAACATGATTTTTCAATTTACGAACAATTTTGTATTTTATCCATGTATGTCTTTTTCTCGCAATTTTATATTATAATAGTTTAAAGCGCTAAATTTTAAATGTAACTGGGCGCAAACACGCTATTTTTGACTAATTTTGTTATAATGTATATAATTATTGGAATTAATCCAATCGGTTTCCATAAAAAATACATTACCAATTTTATTTTTATGAAATGTTAAAAAAATAGAAGAATTTTTTATATATGCATAAATATGTTTAAAGTACTAGAAAGTATACATTTTTACAAAGTATATCTACAAATTATTTATGGACAATGATAAACTGTTACAATTATAAATTATACCTACATATTAAAAAATATTTCATAAATTATTTATTATGTAACCGCCTACAAACGTCACAAATATTATTTAAAAATAAATATAAGATATTCCATTGCTATTACTATTTATATTTAACATAGCTAAAGTGCTCGAGGCAATAATATGTCATATATTACAAATCACATATTAAATTTGATGAATAAACGAAAATGTCTCATAAAGAACTAAAAAGATATACATCATATAAAAGCCATCATTTTATTTTGCAAAATTTGCGCTTGTTTTTTAAGGTGTTAGTTAAAGAAAATTTAAATTTGAATTTTTGTCAAAGCTATCCAAAATTGCATAAACTAGATTTTTACATGGCTTATTAATATGTGTTATTGCCTCAAATTCTCCATTCATATGTATAGATTCGCAGATTTTCATTTTTAAAATAATCACAATGTCGCAAAGTGTCAAAAGAAAAGAGACAAATGGTTTCAAGACAATTAATGCAGAGAAAAATGAAGAAAAAACAATACATCTCTTTTTATATAAATCATAAATAACGATATATATATATATACTTTATCTCTTATAATTTTTGTTATTTACATGAAAATTAATTCTCATTTACTACGTACCACATAGTTATATATTGCGCGTGTGGTGATATATATGTATATATATATATATATATATATATGTATATATATTATATTAATGTACCGTAATAGGCTTGAAAGAGTTAACGTGATAGAGAAATCGATTGAAGTCACATCGGGAAATACCGATATTTTGTTATAATGACATGCTTACACATGTTTAATAAGTTTTTATAATAAAATAAATCATTTATTTCTCGTAACAAAAACGCAAAATGAAAATACTTGACGTGTTACAATGCGAACAGTATAAAGAGTATAAGAATATATATATAAATAGTGGTATTCCGTTTGCTGCATTTTATTTAATCAACATCACTGAAAAATTATCGCTTGTGATAATTACAGAGACAAATTAATGTAATTCGATATATACTTGAAACAATAGAAAAGTGTATAGTAACTTATCAACCTGCCAATTTATATAATTATTTTATATGTTTTTTTTAACAAGCAAGATATCGTAGGAAAAAATTTCGTTAACGCAGTACGGAATATCAACTCCTGAACAACTTGTAGTGAAATAAATATAAGGAGATTTATGCTTTGTTAATTTTTTTATGCCTCTGATTGTTCACTTCTGGCATGAAAGAGTATTTTCTAATTTTACGAACAACTATATAAACTTTCAAAATAACTTAATAATAAGACTTAAAGTCATTGTTAAGAAAATTTTCGCATTACATCTCTTACAGGGATTGTACAATGTGACGATGTGCGAATATATGATTGCACTGCGACATTATCCTGCGCTTACAATCGAATGTGGTTGTTGTTTCCTGAGGCTGGGCTTCTGACTTGCCGTCTAGCTCTAATTGGACAAATGCAATAATCTCTTGTTATAGTTTGTGTCTTATCTAATGCTATAAATATACATATATGAGTGTAAATATATATGTATATAATGGAAAATATGTGTGTACTGATTGATTTTGTGCATAAATTAGGTAAATACTGTTTGTACAAAAAATTAAAAGAGTTTACTTTTAAACTTTACTCTATTAACACATATATTTATGTTAGAAATTGTCATATTATAATATTATGATATTTCTATTATACAGTGTAGAATAAAATGGCCATTTATGTGCAGGAATAAATTCTTAAATATATTGTTCCATATTTTTTGTCATTTATATATGTATGTCATTTTATATCAATCAATATTTTTTTGTAATATTTGAGCCACGAATAATTTTACATCAATATAAACTGTAAACCAATGCAGGCAATTTAAAAAATGTCAATTACAATGTATACACAAATGCTGTTTAAAATTGTCTAAAATAATGTATTATTTTTATTACAACATTGACATTAATTTTTTTAATGCAACTGCACATTTTTGTAGTGTTTGATATCTGTTTATGTGTGTGTGTATAATGTAAGAGTATGTAATTTATTGTAATTATTTTTCACAAACTTTAAACATTTTTCGCGCTTGGGCTCTATTGGCCGATTTAAAATATCATATATTATTTTTAAACATTTTGTTACTTAAATTAAATTTTTTTTCTATACACAGAGCGAACAAAAACTCAAATATTGAATTATAAATTATAATAATGTATTTTATTTGTAATATATTAATGTCTAAAATTAATTTTTTGTAAGAACTTTTTAGTATAATATATAAAAAAAATTTGTAATATTTATATATTAAAAAATAAACAAAATGTACGCAATTATGTATATCTATTACTCTAATGAAACAATATGAAATTTTGTCTCAAGGAATTTGACTACATAATTATCAATCAGCATCAATTACATTTACAGGATGTGTATGTATTATGTACAATTTTTAAATAATAAGTCTAGTTCGTGTTTGAATTTGTACAAATATGTCTGTGACTTGATAAAAAAAAGTATTATTGCATTTCTGAAATGTGTCTATTGCATTAAGATTTTCCACATGCAACAATAACATAAAAAAATTACTATATATATTATTTTGCGAAATAAATATTTCATTAATTCTTTTAACAGCAAATTATCAAGTTTCAATAGAATAAAAAAATGCATATGCACATGTAGTTTTCAATAAAATGTAATTATACATTTATTTTGAAACATATTCAAACATGGCACATGCTTAGGAAACATTATTATAAAAGGAAAAAAATGAAAATATTATTACGTCATTGTCACATATAATTATTCAACAATAGCTTAAAAAGCATAATAACAGATAAACTATAAATTTGCTACCAAATAAGATTTTTATAATAAAATATAATAATATATAAGAAATATTGACTAAACAAATTGAAACCAATATGGCATAATATTAAGGAACTTTTGCAATGTGTATAAATTTGTTTTAAGATAAAATATAAATGAAAAATCTTCATATTTTATAATAAGGGCAGTTATCTGTCAAATAAGAGAGTGAGCAGTCTATTTCTATTAACTTAATATTGCATAAAAAGCCTTAAATAATAAATATATAAATTATGAATGTCTTTTGGCGCTGACTATATAACAAGCATATTCAATGGAAACACAACCAATATATAACAGTAAGTACAACCAGTGAGAATATCATGTATCATATTTTGTCTTTTTGCAATTTTGTTTAGAAATTCATCAAAAAATATAGACGATTAATTGTTAATATCAAGCTAAAATATATAAAAATAGATACATGATATCTACCTGTGAGTACATATTGCACGATAAAACAGGAATACAACACAATTTAATGTGATTAAAACGTGATTGCTGTGTTACCTGTAGAGAACTTGATCTTCTCGAGCCGCGTTTTTACTCGTGTTCAGCTTATTTTCCAACGCCTGTAGAAAAGAATAGTTATGATTAAAAACATGTTATTTAATATATCTTACGGCTATAATTGATAATAATCAAATTACATTGACAAGAATGTTAGAAAGAGCAAAGATATCAAATTTATTATTATAATACGTAAGAAAAAGCATGGGATTATGGATATTTTCTTGACAATACAACTTAAATAAGGTTCTATGCACGGTGAATTATTACAAGCACTGCAGTAACAAAAATCAAATCGAGACCTGCTCTTTAAGGAGATGCAAAATAATCTAATGGTGAGAAATCACGTTGAAGATTTGTACGCGGTCGGTCTAGGTTGTTGCCTTATACATTGAGTAGTCGTGTGAGTCTGGGCCGTTGATAAGACAGTAGATGAGGTGGTATTTGATATCTGTCCGCTCGGACAAGTGCATTTTATTCTCCTACAGTCCATGCAGACCCATTTGTCAAGCTACCACAAAACACCAACTACGTCACACTAACTACTCTAAGCACAAATCAAATGTGATTTGCTCTTATAACATGTACAGGAAATATTTACAACCTTCCATTATATATTGCTATATACATAATTAAATTCTATTGATTTGTCCGTGACATAATATCTTTAAGCAAATATGTATGATGTTTGACTGATCAAGATGTTTATAATATATACATATAATTTATATAATTTTATAAATGGCATAGTTTGTACTATGCGTAAAGATCAGTAAAACATACAAGCCATGCTTCAAGCTTAAAAGACTACTAGTGTAACAACAAAATATTACATAAGCTTACCCCGACTTTTCGCATGAGATCACCAATCATATTCATCGCCAGTATTCTGGTACAGGGCGGCAATGGTTGACTCATATTATTGTTGTTTCCAATAACACCCCCTACTATCCCATGTCCAACTAGTGAATAATAAGAAAAAAAAAGATTATTCTGTCTTTTTCTACATAAATATATATATATATATATATATTAATAGTATTTATGATTTAAGAAAATTATAAATCTAATATCACATTAGATCTAAATATACCATTAAATCTAAATCTATATATATATATATATATATATATATATATATATATATATATATATAAGATCAATAATATTTATATTTACAAAAGATATATTGAAAAAATCAAAATAAAGAAAAAAATATTGTCAAAAATATTTATTCAGTATTACATCAGTAATAATACTGGACTTGATTATTTTTAAGAAAAATAAAAAGAGAGGAAATGAGGAAAGGCGCGAAGAAGAGAAAGAATTACCAAACAATTTAACAATTTTTAAAATAAATAGTAAAGTATAAATAATAAAAAATCATGAAAAAAATTGCAGAAAATTAGTAATTATTCTAAATATATAAAAAAATTATCTTTTTATGCGATACATTTTTATCAATATCTCCTTCTAAGCTGTATAAAATTTTTCAATTTTTTATGTTTACATACTCGATTGCAGTTTTCATTAATCTCGATTTTTTTTATGCAAAATGGAAAACATGCTTTAATAAAAGCATTGAATAACCTACGTTTTATCGGTGAGGTCGTTGTATTATTTGGAGGTATAGTTTGTGAAACTATCTGGCTAGCGGGTGAATTCGATTCCAATTCAGCCTGTAATTTATTACTGTCGACAATGCTATTACGAACTCTTTCAACGATCTTATTATTATCAGAATGATGCCTTTCGTGTATTTGTATCTCCTGCTTCAAATCTGAAATAATATAAAATATTAGCTACTGTGTTGCAAAATATAATGTATTAAGTAAAGAAAAAAATCTTCATTATATCAACCTCTAACTTCGTCCATCAGTCTTTGTACTATAACTTTTAGGCCTTCTTTTTCATCAAGTTCTGACTCGAGTAAAGCATTTTTTTCTATAGCTAAATTAAACTTAGCTTCTATTTCCTCTTCTGTGACCCTATTTATCCTATGAAAAATATGTTGTTGTTTTATTTTTTAATTCACTAATTTATTATTAATTCTATCAATTTTCTAACTTATTATCCACAAAGTAAAAAAATATGAAATACCTGTGTGCTCTTCCAAGTCGTCATTTTTTTGTTCAATTTCTCTTATATATTTTAGAAGATGCTCCTGCTGTTGCTGTAAATCTTGTGCTTTTCCTTGAAACATAGCGCAATCTGTAGACTGCTGATCTAATCGCATTCTCAACTGTTCAACTTCTGTGGCAAGTCTTGCATTTCTCTGTCTCAATTCCCTATTCGTTTTTTCTGCTTGTTCCAAGGAGGTTTCTAATTCTTTTTCCAACATTTGTGAATTCTCTTGAAACTCTTCCAGTTCACGTTCAACATCATACTTTCTGTGACAATGTAATAAAATCATTATGGTACATTAGTCTTTCATTTATATTACAATAAATGTTTGTATTATTTTTATACATACACTATAGTGTGACTTTTTTTCATAGCAGAAGATATTTAAAACAATTTTGAAATGTGTACTTGTATATAAATAATACAAACATTTGCTGTAATATCATAAACTAATGTACTGTAATAATTTTATATTAAAACTTTATTACATATATATTATGTATTATAAATATTGCAGATGTTATACTGATTGTCATTAATTGTAATAATGTTAATTTATATGAAGCAATATAAATTTGCATTATATATAAAAAAAATATTTTTAAAAGTAGAGTAACATACATACATATTAAGGCATCCTAATGCTTTACAGTTTTATAAGTATTATTCAAGAGAAAATTAAAATATATATATTTTCTCTAATTCACATCGATAACCATTTAGTCATCATTCTAATAAGTGTGTGACTTTTTATGTCAATAAGGCTTGATTGATACATAACATAAATTATACCTTTGATGCATTTGATGAGCCAAGTCCATCCAATATTGAATCTCATCGTCCTTTGACGAGAAATCTGGCAGATCTACATCCATTGTTGCTCTCGAAGATGGTCACACTTGTATACAATCCCTGCTGTCTTCTGAGATGTCTTTCCAAAATATGATACAGAAACAATCGTTCACACTGACATTCTGCAAAGAAGCAAGATTATGACAAAACTTTGTAATAGGCTGCAAAATAAATATGAAGAAAGACGCAACGCATCGTTATTCTCGCTCAAGTGTCTTCGAAGTTACTCCTAATAAAAATACAGATTAATATCCTCGACTCTTTAATTCCCGAACATAATTTTCTACTCAGAGATAAAAACACAGAAAGACAAACCTATCGCTTTCGCGATAATTCAGATCTCGAGCGAATACACTTGTCGACGAGATGCATAATAAATGTGTGCGTGCAACACAAGTGTCATTACCGTGATATTATGAGTCACACTGGCTGACGACGAGCAGGAGAAAATATGCAACAGACGCGTAGAAAAATCGGTGGCGCAGCAGAAAAGATGCCTAGACTCGGAAGTCGCCTGCTCAGTTTTTCGACCGCGCGTATCCGGGGCTCCGGGGGCCTGTTTCCTCCAGGAAATCACACACGTCGATCAATCCGTGGCGAAACGAACGTATCAACGAGCGAACGAGTTATTCGCGGGCACCGCCGCCGAATACTCGGTCACTGACGGGCTCAAAGATCGCGCAAAATGGCAGACAGGTTAAAGAGCCCCGAGAACCTCTGGGCGACAGCAAGATGGTGCTCCGTAACGTTCGAGGATCCGAGCGAGTTCGAGATTATTCCCGAGACCGACCTCGGGACGCCCCGAGAAACGCGGATGACAGGTGCGATGAAATAAATACGTGATAAATGCGAGACTGCCTCGAGATGGATGTCAGTCAAACACTGCGCGCAGCTCCCTTTCGAAAAAGTGCTGCTCTCTCCGCTTGACGTTACGAAATATTTCGAAGCGTTCGATCGACCAATTAGGATCGCGCATAGAGTTCGTAGTTAGGAGAGGAGCGTGTCGATGTGAAAAAAGGCCATCGCGTGTGGAGAAATTTTAGTAGGACGTTCGGACCAATCACAGTCGAGCATTCTCGATTTAGTGAGAATACTTCGACTGTGATTGGTTGATTTGATAATCACTTATTTCTGATTGGCTCCGCCATTTTTTTTTAGAGAGGCGAAGGTTTTTGTTTTGATTTGTAAATCGTAGACAACAAAATAAAATTTGTTATTTATTGTATGAATATTTTTATTTAAAAATGCCTATATATTGTACTGCTCTTGGGTGTAAAAATACGAATGATATTAAAAGAAAGACCGCAGCACAAATGGAATTGGAAAAAACTGTCAAAGTGACATTTCATGTGTGAGTATGTCAACATAACCTAGTGCAAAATGTTAATTGAAAATGTTAAAATAAAATAAAATAATATCGTGACATTGACATACACATCAAGTTTAATATCATAAATTATTAAAAATGTTACTGAGTATAAATGTAATTAATTTTTTTATTGCCGTAAATGCGTATTATTTTTTTATATTATACAATTTAAAATATGTGCTGTTGTTTTTTCCCCAGATTTCCTTCTGATCCCAATAGAAGAAGAGAATGGATAAAAATAATGAAACTTGAAAATAAAACTCTTTGTAAAAGGAGTTTTCTTTGTTCTCTTCATTTTGAAGAGAAATGTATAGACCGCACATCTTTAACATGTGTAAGGTTGAGAGAAAATGCTATTCCATATGTAAGTATCTCAATTATAAAAAAATTATAATTTACATGTAGAAAAGATAATATATTACATATGTATACAGAATGGTATGCAAAATATTTACAAATATAAAAAGATTATAGTATATATGAGATATATTAAATCTAAATATATGCATGATTATCAATATATAAGTAATAGTAATATATTTTACATAAAACTTTTGACAAGTTTACAAATATGTATCTATAATTTTATAATCAATTGTATAATTACAGTTACCTGCTGAATATACATTTTGTGACAATGTGAACAGTGAAAATGAAACAGGTATTAATAAAATAGAAAAATATATATTACTTTTGTACAATTGTTATATCATTAAAAGTATTATGTTAAATATTTTCAAAGTTTTTTTCGAAACTAAATTTCTAATACTTTATTAACACAATATTTTTCAAGTTTTTAATGAATTTTATATAATAAATTTATTTTAGTATTGGCTCCAATTGATCCTTTAAATGTAAAATTGGAGGAAATGGAAGATGATCCTGAATGCATTTCTGTTATTCGTAAGTTTCACATATTATATATTTTTAAGTAATTGAAAAATATTTTTTCTTGTATGAAATATAATGACAATTTATTGTGCAGATTCGACATGTGATAGAGAAACGAATACATCACCTCTCTTAATATTATCACAAGAAATACGGCGACCTACTCGTGATAAACAAACAAGTATTTCACCTGAAAGAATACGAAATTGCCCTATTGTACAAATAATTGAGAAAAAAACCCATACTGATATTGAACGTTTACGAAAAAAGATTAAAGTTTTACAACAAAAACTTAAACGAAAAGAAAAGAAAATTGAAATTATGAAAACTATTTTTGATGAATTAAAAGCAGTGAATTTGGTTACCCATGATGTAAAATCAACCATGTGATAATGTATTGTATAATGATATATTGCAAGTATGACAAAAATATAAGATTATGTTGGCATAAAAATTTATTTATAAAGCACTGTATCTTTTTGATAAAATTCTTAATAAAATGTATACGTGTCTAATGCTATATTTAGTAATTGTAATATTACAGTATTAATGCATGTAATTATAAAACATGTAAATATAAAACGAGAAAAATATCTTTTATAGATATTAGTATATTTTTCTTCTTGTGATAGTCTTTGCAAATTAAATAAATATATTTTAAAATATCTTGTCAAATAATTAAAAATGTGAATTAATTTTTATAATATATATAATTATATATATATTTTTTAGTTTTATATTACTATCTTCGATTGTTTAAAAATTTATATATCTGAATAGTACTTGATTGATAGGACAGATAAAATTTGTTTTATTTTCATCCTGATTATTAATGATATTTTAAAATTATTATTGAATAAAATTAGAATTATTTGAAAAAATCAATAATGAAATTGATATGAAATTATTAAAAAATAAAATAATTATTGAGTACTCGTCGAATAAATTTTGGAATGCAATTCAAATACATTAAGAAAGTAATAATCCCTAGGAAGAAAAATTTTAACATAGGGAATTTAAGTTTCCAAAGTTCATGCCAGGGTTTACGGGTATAAAAGTCAGCGTCTTCTTCAGTTTCCTCCATTTTCTTCGTCAGCAGCATCATGGTAAGTTGAATCCGCGTCCGGGAATCTGTAAAAATTTGCAACATCCCTCAACATCGGCAGTATTATAATAAATAATCGTGTTCTTAAACATATTCTTCGAACTGTAAAACAAATATTACGCTAATATTTTAATTCGCAATATTTCCGGTTTTTTTATGACGAGATGGCGATGCGTATTCAACACATGGCTTCTCGTTACGATTAAACATTTGCAACGATTCCGATCATTCAGATGATGATTTAGATTAAAAAGTTTATGGTTTTCAACTGAATAACCTTGAAGAAAATATTCTAGGGCGGTCTGATTTTCTTTTTTCTCGAAAAAAGATTTTTATCATTTGACCACGTGTCTCAGATTTCTCCATCTTGTGTTGTAGTCGCATAGAAAATTCAGCGCCCCTCGACACGGGTCGATGGGATTCTATCCCAAGAAAAGATCCCAAAGACATCGTGGAAAGGTAAAGGCCTTCCCGAAGGATGATCCCACCAAGCCTGTTCACTTGACTGCTTTCATCGGCTACAAGGCCGGAATGACTCACGTTGTTCGGGAAGCCGATCGTCCTGGATCGAGTGAGTGATAATTAGTAAAATTACTGCAATAATATATAATTTAAGTAAATTGTTAAGAATGCTAAAATTTGTTCAGCTGCCGAATAATAAAAAAAATGTGAATTAATTTTTATAATATAGTTATATATTCTAGTTTTGAGACTTTCGCGGCCATTGGAATCATCAATGCAAAAGGTTTCCGGATGGATGCCGCGTGGTTTAACAGCATAATGCCGACGTTTTGCAAACGTTGCAGTTTGCATCTTCAGGGCTGAGAGCTCTGATGCTCATCGGAGCTCTCAGCCCTGAAGATGCAAACTGCAACGTTTGCGAAACGTCGGCATTATGCTGTTAAACCACGCGGCATCCATCCGAAAACCTTTTGCATTGATAGTTATATATTATTTTTATATATTCTTTTATTTTTATATTATTACTATTGTAGATTGTTTAAAAATTTATTTATCCGAATAGCACTTGATTGATAGGACACAAATTTTGTTTTTTTCATCCTGATTATTGATTTTTCAAATGATTCTAATTTTAGCATTCTTATTTTAAATTGAAGATTTTTTGCATTTAGTCTGTAGACAATAGTATATGACGTGTTAATCTGGGTGTTGATTGATGCACATGCATTGATTCACTTCGATTGCAATGCGAGAGCTGCCTTTGATGCAGTATATTTTCAATGTTGCCATGTCAAAAAGTAATTTCGTGCACTGCTTATGCAGAATGCATGGAGCTGGGTATATTCCATAAATTCTTTGGAGCCTATTGGGCAGTGACCATTGAGACAAACCATATCTAGTACAGTCCACTTCTAAAATAAGCATTTTTTTTCCTTTTTGTACAAATTACTCAAATATAAATATCAATCATTTAATTTCAGAGGTAAATAAGAAGGAGATTGTAGAGGCAGTTACTATCCTCGAAACACCCCCAATGATTGTAGTTGGTCTCGTTGGTTACATTGAAACACCACATGGACTTCGAGCACTTGCTACTGTTTGGGCAGAACATTTGTCGGAGGACTGTCGCAGACGTTTCTACAAGAATTGGTTAGTAGGAATTATTTTATGAATTAAAGATAATTTATCTAATTATATATATATATGTTAGAACTACCTGTACTAGCTTATGACGTGTTAATCCGGATGTTGATTAATGCACAAGCATTGATTCGTCTGGATTGCAGTGCGAGAGTTGCTTTTAATGCAGTATGTTCTTAAACTGCCATGTCAAAGAACAAAACTGTGCTCTGCTTATGCAGAATGCATGGAAGCAAGGTATATTCCATATTCTCTTTGAAGCTCATTGAGCAGTGATCATTGAGACAAACCATGCCTAGTACAGTTCTTTTATTTTTAAAAATTACAAGTACATTATTATATCACACGATACTAAAAATATCACAGCTCTCCGCTCACACGATGAGAGTTATCATTTGGATATAGCCGTTTGAAATTTAACACGGTTGATCCAAAAAATGTGCCCAGTCTCCGCTCATTATGATGAGATTGGCACGTTACAGAAGTATGCAGGTGGCAGCATATGCAGACACATGCACAGATGGGCATTGCAATTGATTTTTCGACAGGTACAAGAGTAAGAAGAAGGCATTTACGAAGGCTTCGAAGAAATGGCAAGACGACCTCGGCCGCAAGTCTATTGAAGTTGATTTAAAGAAAATCAAAAATATTGCAGCGTTGTTCGCATTATCGCTCATACTCAGGTAAATTACACAATAGTGCAACTTTAATATTAAAGTATCAGATATAATCATACTTGTATAATTGTGGAATAAAAAATCAATTTTATTTTTATCTCTGTTCTATTAGATGAAGCTGTTGAGACAACGTCAAAAGAAGGCTCACATCATGGAGATCCAGTTGAATGGTGGAACTATCGAAGACAAAGTACAATGGGCCCGCGAACATCTGGAGAAACCCGTTCCCATTAATAGCGTGTTTGCCGCTGATGAAATGATCGACGTGATTGGAGTTACCAAGGGAAAGGGTTACAAGGGTATGTACTTATACATATTTATATATTTATGTGTTTGCTACTCGCTCCCCCACTGACCCTTGAAACTGTACGTTTGCGTCCCCCCCCTCTGCCCATGAGAAGCATGTTTTCAAAAACTACTAGGACTGTATGATGACAAAAGCATGATGTGCACTTATCTGATCATCTTGAGGATATAACCATGCTGCCTTCCTACTGAAGTCCTCGACCAAACAAGACTAACTGTTAATTAAGTCTAGTTTGCTGTGTATGAGCACAAACGTCTACCTAATTCTTAAATAATTCATATTCTTTGTACTTCTCACAGGTGTTACATCTAGATGGCATACTAAGAAATTGCCACGCAAGACTCACAAGGGTCTAAGAAAGGTCGCTTGTATTGGTGCGTGGCATCCAAGTCGCGTGTCCTTCACTGTTGCACGTGCTGGTCAGAAAGGATATCATCATCGTACTGAAATGAACAAGAAGATTTATAGAATCGGTCAAGGCATCCACACCAAGGATGGCAAGGTAATTAAATTTGAGAATTAATTTAATACGCCTCTTACCCTAAGTCGATCTTTGAAATCTCTATCAAACGATTGATTCTTAAATTTTGTAGAGGCAAGATAAAGTTACTTATTAGTCATAGTGCCTAATGCATAAGTACTACATCTATGCTTTAGGTCTCCAACATAAGTCACAATAAATTAAATATAAAATTCTTTATTTTATTAAACTTTATTAAAATTATTCTCATCACATTTATCTACTTCTAGATCGTAAAAAATAATGCTTCAACGGAATACGATCTTACGGAGAAAACTATCACGCCCATGGGTGGTTTTCCGCATTACGGTGAAGTGAACAATGATTTCGTTATGATTAAGGGATGCTGTATGGGTCCGAAGAAACGCGTGATTACTCTGAGGAAGGTAAATATAAAATATTAATAATTAATAATTAAATTATTTTGCATATCCATATGATGAAATTATGTAGAGCCTAGTATTATTCTGAACACGATGATATTACAAATGATAGGACTGATTAAATACTTGAATATTATTAATATTTATTTTTGTGAAAAAAAATAAAACTACTAATGTGAAACGTATTTTTCAGTCCTTGTTGGTGCATACAAAGAGATCTGCATTGGAGAAGATCAACCTCAAATTCATTGACACCAGCTCCAAGTTCGGACATGGTCGCTTCCAAACCGCCGCAGACAAGGCCTCCTTCATGGGACAACTCAAAAAGGATCGTCTGCGCGAGGATCAAGCGCAAGCTACTACCTCGGCGCCGAGCACCGCGGCTGCACAGTAAAATTGGTCTACTATGCACGTTTGATAACTGTGTATAGTGATTCTATAAACAAATTCTTAAAAATTATATAAGACTTATTTATTTCCTTGTATATATTTCCCGTGTATATGTAAAAACGTAGTTTTAAGAATTGAGATTAAAAATTCTTTCAAAGTATTTTAAATTAAATTAATTTTTACCTTTTAGCTTAGTTGTAGACTAATCTGAAAAATTTGTGTGTGTGTGTATACAATTCTTATATATGTAAACTATATAAAATATGTTTTATATATAATATATACACATTAATTCCAATTTGAAGTATAGATATCTTAACTAAAAAGCATAATCAAAAATTAAAATTTTTATCTTGTCTCGACTAATTGGGAACATTTCATCTCTTCATATTTTGGCGTTTTTATTCAATTCACTTTGAAATATAACGTTTTTTTAGTTTTGACATAATTTTTATTTTAATTTATAATAATTAGGGTAAGGTTTATATATATATATGAATATATTTAGTGGAACACGGCTTTTTAATGATACGCTTTGGAACAATTCTATTCATCGATTCAGTTTTACTCATTAATTTACTGCTTTGAATTTGCAATCTCAGTCGGAAAAATTTGCCTGATATAAATTAATGAAATTGTGAAAAAAATCTATTATATTCGCTCAAAAATTGATTGATCGTTGTCGACTGCGCATGTATGGAATTTACATCATGGTGTATAGTGTATTCCATCTAGATATTTGTTAGTTCATGTCGTGCAATGTGCAAGTTTTGTAGAGTAAAAGAAATTTTATTCATAATATAATATATATTACTGTTAATTCGATCTGATTTACTTTGCACAACATAATGGCAGAGAAGGAAAATCCGTTATATAAGTTTGCGACTGCTGTATATTACATTATAGATGCTCCGGTTACATATGTCCGAGGTATTATCTAATCATTTGTTTGGTTATATGTTGCTCTCTTTCTCTCTATAAATATATATATTTATTTATAATTATAAACAACTTTTTTATTGCAGAAAAATTCGTAGTGCCGAATCAAAAGAAATACCCGTGGTATCATCAAAAATATCGTCGCGTGCCCACAATCGACGAATGTTATACCGATGATGTAGTCTGTTACACCGAGGCAAATTGTCAATTTATGCGTGACAAGTAAGCTTTTTCATGAAATATTTAAAAAAAAGCAAAGAAAAAGGAAAGAAAAAGAACATTCAGTCTTGACAATGACCAACATTAATATATATATATATATATATATATATATCATATATATTTATTAATATTATGCATATATACATGTATATATATTAATATTATATATTTATAATAAAAATGTCAATCAATTTTAATAACAGATCGGTAGAAGATGAAATTTTGTTCATATTGAGAAGTCGTTTTGAACAGTGTGTTTTTATCACGGTGATGACGATTATTTGTGCGCTGATCTAAGGAAGACTTATGATGATGCAACAGCTGCTTGGTTTGCAAAGTGTAATATTATTATTAAAATAGATGTGGAGTTAGAAAAAAATATAATGAAAAAAAACTTTAAAACACCCTTTAAATATATATTTTTACAAATTTTGCAGACGGCGATATGGGTATAGGCTTAAATGTTAAAAATGCATATATGAAGCAGAAACACCGTATGATTTGGGAACGTCGTCATGGTCCAGTAGGTAGTGGCATGAGAGAGCAACCGAATAAGGCGTAGCAATTTACACTCGAATTGTAGATGATAATTTAATGGCAAACGTATTCGTACATTATGAGTCTAAATCGCAGGTTTGCATTATGTATAGATGTACATTGTGAATTGAAAAAGTTGGTATAATAAAAATAATTTATCAAGATTTTTCTATTTCTTTGCAAAAGTAAGATTGGTATTGTAAAATTAGTATTTTACAATATAAATAGAACAAGAACATATATCGACAAATAATAAATATCTCTAACATTGAATGAATTAATCTCTTTATTTTTTTTTTCATTGTACAATATATAAAAAGATTATATTTATTGTACATGTGTATATCAAATTAATTAATTCATGAAATACTCAAAGCGATTTCACTGATGATTTATACATTTTTGTTTGTTATTAAGTTAAAATCATCTTATACACATTAATCTCATTTACAATTTTTCAACCAGATTACTCATTCATTATTTAGAATGCTATAATTGAGTATACATATAAAACTTATACAATATATTTAGGACGTAAGACAACTATTTGCATTGAAATATCTTATGCAGTGGGCATAAAATTACACAACATAAGATATCTGTTTGAATGAATTAAAAGTTTCTCTACAAGACACACATGTACGCGCAAAATCTTTCATGTAAATATAAAATACAAGAATTCATTATTTTAGGCATATAAATATATAACATGTAACAAAACTTTTTTTAATAAGAATAAATTAAACGAAATATTTAAAAGAAAGTCATTTGAATATTATGATCTTTATAAATTAAATAACACTCGATGTTTCGACTGTCATTTAATTTATCGCGAATTTTCGAATAATTATCCAATGGAAATAACATAGACATTTACGCATCTCTCTCAAAAATTTTTCAACTTTTTAAAAATAACGTACTAAAATTCAGAATAAATTGACGATAAATTGGCAAATAGTATCGCGCACGCATGAAACTTAAAAATCCATTTTGTAGCAGTAAATCCTACTAGAGTAATTAATAATTAACATTTTCACGCTGCAAATTATTACACATTCATATCGCATTTACAATGAGCACAAAGTATAAGATTAAAAGTGAGATCAGTACACTCATTCGCCTGTACAATTCAAATAGCGCGACATTCTCATGACACAATTTATTCATTTAATATATTAACAGAACATTGTACACAAATTCTGTCATGATGTATTCATTATTCTTCTTCAAATAAAAAAGAAAAAAGATTGCGCAACACGAAGCTGCTGATATTTTGATGCAATTTCTACTTTTGTGTTTCGTCTCTTTTTGAATAAAATTATGTGATATTAAACGCCATTTAATAGTATCAGACGATATTTGTCTCGACGAGCTTTGTTAAAATTTTATCTCACGTCGCATCTTGCTATATATTTTTCGACCATGCTACATCAAACAATAGTATCAATTTCTAAACATTAAAGAGCTTTTCATCGATAAAATTATTTTTTCCTTTTTTTCCACGTATCGTAAAATCACGCGAAATAGCTTATACATCGTATCATACTCCAATTTTATATCATCGCTATATAATATTCGTAACATTGTCTCATTCATTTATAATACATTTGTAAAATTATACATTGAGCTGTAAAAAATGTATCAATGGAGCAAATGGGGAGAAATTTATATAAGGCGATTAAGATGAATAACTGTACAGATGAAAAATGTATGGCGGACAAGAGAATTTTCACTTATTGTTAGCTTTTAGTTGGCAACAATCATACGCAATATCTTTTTCAGACACATGTGTTATAAGAATGTTAACTCACATTATTATTGACAATGTGAATGTAGGCAAATCGAAAGAAGCGATTTAATTAATAATTTATTTACAAGAGAAAATTTATTAGTTAATACTCGATGACTAATTCAATCTAATCTTTTGCTTACACATTTTTTTTAATAAACATAAAATTAAAAATAGATATAAATTATCTCATGATATGTGTGCGTTATTAATTGGTCGAAACAATCAAGTAAAAATTGATTGTAAATTCGCGCGCGCGCGATATAAAAACATAAATAAGATTAAAAAATATCTATAATATATAAATAAAAAATATGTATTGACGCACAATATAAAAAGATTTAAATTGTAATAAATCACAACTAAATATACTGTGCCACGCTTCTTGAATGTGATTTGCCGAAAGATAATTATTGCCATCCAAACCTTTCTTCTTTAGGTGTATAATATTACTATTTTGCTTGTTTTATATCCTATATCACAGTACGAAAAATGCTACATGTTTCCTAATCATCAGCACATGTCATTCGGTATAAATTCGATCACTCACGCATTTGATATTAGAATCCCGATTATAACAATCACAATCTAACTCGATGTATTATTTTCATACACTTTGAAAATAACTGAAGTGTTTACAAGTAGTATCTCCTCTATCGCATACATATTTGCATACACATTTACTCTATACACAAATTTGTTATAAATTTCGAGTATAAATAAAGTGTGGTACCTACCACTATCAGTGAAATAGTTATATAGGTAATCTAATTCATTTTAAGTGGCAACCGAAATATTGTAATATCGAAGCAATTCTTACTATCTTCAAGCACAAGATTTATCAAACTCAATCGGTTTTGATCCTGGGTTTATTATTTTTTTCAACATCTCTTTCTGCATATTCTTTGTTTCAATCATGGCTCGATCGGCTGATTAAACTGGGCTGCCAAGCGTCTCTTGCCCTTAGTTACTGTAATGAACAGTTTCCTGATATTTTCAATATGTGAGTGAACATGCACCAACGTAAAAATAAATGTTACACGTTAATATTAATTATAAAAATGTTGTAAAAAATTTTTTTAATGGAGCTACTCACGGAGCTTGCTAGAAGTGCTGTGACTATCGCTGTTCTCATCATCATCGATGGTGGTATTAGTATCTTCGCTTTCGGAGCTTGCAAGATTGAGATGCGTTCTAACGGCAATCTTCTTCTGATTATCTACTAATATCTTCTTCTTGGGTGTTAGGGATAAAGAAGGAAGTGGCAGTTCTGAGGGATGCGGTGCAACAACAGATTTGGAATAGTAAGGAGAAGTAGGCGGATACAAAGGATTCGCAGCAGCGGGTAATAGATTTTTTGTTGGCGATAGCAAGTCTGATGTACCATCACCGGACAGGTATTGATTCCAGCTCGGTAAAGTTAACGGGGGAACCTGAAGGAAAATAATAAAAATGACAAAAATTAATACATACACTATGTAAAGGAAATAACTTCTCAAATATAAATATATTATGTAATACATATAAATTAAATATATAATCTTATAATATATATTAAAATATATAAATATATTAAGAAAAAAATTACCTGCACGTTTGTGGAATGTTCGTCTTGAGGATATGTAAATTTCGTTGGAGACATCCATAGGGACGATTTCCAATGCTCTCCCTTACATACGGAGTTCTGCGAAAAAAATATAATTTATTAATAAACTAATAATTGCGAATATAGAAAAAAAGAATCAATATATTAATATCTACTAGAATAATACCTCGGGCGGGGAATCGGGTTTAGGTGGCGGTGGAGGGAAATCATGTTGCATTATCGGTGTGCGTATTAAACTCCTCAGGAAGCTCTCGCCGCCGCTTTCCGACCAATTAATCGAGCGTTCTTCCGTAGTCGCCAGGTTCATCCAATGCTTGATACGATTCTCCGACCACAAAGCTTTATCCTCTTTCGCTTTCCAAGAATTGACGTTGGTCAACTGATCTATCCACTTCTCGTGATTATCCACCACGCCCAGAGTATTCGAAGCGTTTACGCGATAAGAAGAATCGCTTTCAAACGAATCGTTGCTGGAATCCGTATCGTGATAGGATGACATCGGCTTGTATACCGTTGGCAAAAGTATACCGGCCGCAGCTTTATTAATAAAAAATAAAATGTTTATATTAGCACGCGATATCGATATAAAAATATATTAGAGAAATATTAAATTATTCAAATTATTTACCAGCTAATTTTTATTTAAATAAATAATCGCTTCCTTCTTCCGTGTTTCCTTTATCGTTACTGTACAAGGTAATGCTTGTAAAAGTGCAGTTATTGTTGGAAATCCATATTGTGTAGGTTTACAAAGTGAACCTATGATAGTTGAGTATGATGCATCAAACTGCGATAAGTTTAATGTATCACCGCAATTTATCATCACGCGATAAAGATCACAAGCAAAGCGATGTAACGGTGTCAGTTCAATGAATTTTTCGCCATTTATGTCTGTAAACTATAAGATATACTGTTAGAATGAAATTCAAATGCTCGAGATCACGGTTCCGATAGCAAAAATGTATTCTAGATGAATCAAGATAGATTCATATATTAAATCCTATACATACCCGAACAACATTTGTAAGATCTTTTCTAAACTCGTCTAGATTACATTGCTTCAAATAATACTGAGAGTATTGTTGAACAAATTCAATAACGGGCATTCTATGTTGAGGTTGATCCATCAGTACGCGTCGGCATTGAAGAGTTGTTTGTTGCAAGTGTGATTTGTCTATTGTGATAATAGCAGGTCCTGTGGCTAAATCTATGATCTGTAAATGAGAAGAAAATCCAGATGTAAATATAAAGATAAATCAAAAGAAGAGATCAAGCTTCAGCTAGATCGATATCGTGTATTACCTGAATGGTATCTCCAAGTTTTTGCATAAGATGTAACATGGAATTGCAGCCGAATAATTCGGGACGCAAAGCGTAGCCGAATTGATGTAGAAATGTTTGCGTGATACTCGAGATCATAAGGCCGCCTTTGGCTCGCATCACCAATTTCGATATCTGTTCGGAGAGAACCTTAAGACCCTCTTTTTCAGTCAAGGATATCTGTCTCTCGCCTCCATTAACTTCATCAATTTTAACTACGTCCGGAATTGCTTCGAACAATTCGATCAATTTGGTGAATCCGTAATCCGACACTCGACATTGGTGACCAAAATGATGATGATAAGAAGGTACAAACTTGTTGAACAACATTCTGCATTGAGGCGCATGTTGCAGTAATTCGACAACCTGTATAAAATTTAATTAATTTATTAGATTTAGTTTAAAGAATTTAAAAGATACTTAGGTTTAATAATTCGCAAATTACGCACTTCCTTAGCGAACAATTTTGTTCGGTCAATCTCTTCCGCAGTCTGTTCACGTTTAGGAATAGCAATCATTTTATCGCCGCCTTCGATAGATGTTACGACAACCGTGTTTTCAGACACTTCACTGAGAATATCTTCGATATTGCATACGCCGTAATCGACAATATCCCACGGTTTTGCTACAAAATAATTGTGTGTAAGATATTTGTTATTAATTATGAATATGAATATAAATGTACAAAGAATTATGTGTATATCTATTACTCTATTATAAAAATTACTATAATTACTTTAAACAACTACTACACTATTATAAATTTACTTGCTTTACTACACAGAGATAATATTCTCTTAAAATTTATTCTGAAATTCACGATAATTGTGGGATAATATAGTACTGGAAGAATATTATAAATTTCTCTGATTAATATTTACCACAATAAAAAATATTAATACCTCAATAAAATATAAAACATGTTCGATTAATTTGACTAAAATATAGTAAAATTTCAATAATTTTAAAATATATTAACAACTGTATTAAAAACTTATGATCCTTTAAGTGTTTTAGAATTTTGCGGTAAAATATAATATAAAATTCTCTCTATGTATAATTTCTTTAACATAAATTATTTGTATACCTATTACTCTACTGTAAACACTTGGAAATTCCGACAGTGCTACTTGTTTACTCGCTTTCGATTTTAGCACTCGTAATAAATCCGAAGTGAATCGACGTACTTGAGTACGGTGCGATAATGTAACGACGCGCTTATTGCCTTCACCCATTACCTAAGATATTACATAAGAAAAAATAAGATATAATTTATCAACAATATTTTAAATTACCTTTTTTCTATTTGTGTTAATACTTTTTATATATTACATACTTGGACTGTATGTGTAAGTGCCTCCAGCAAATCAATTAGTTTAGTGAACCCATAATCGGCGACTCTACATTGTCGTCCAAAATGATGATGGTATGCTGGTATAAATCGATTAAAGGGTAATTGGCAGTGCGGAGCGGTTTTCAAAAGGTCGACCAATTCACGACTGAAAAGGGCCAACTGATTTGCGAGCGATGGACTCACGCATTTGTTTTCTGAAAGACAAGCAAGGTCTAATGACTTGTGTATAATAAAACAAACTTTTTGATGAAAGCACATTTTAGGTTTTTAATTAAAACTTAAAGAGACTTACCATCATGATTAGTTTCATGATCCTTTTTTCCTACCCACACGATATATTTCACGCTGCCAATATCCTGTCTTAAATCAACAGATGATAAGCATGATACTAAATGTTCCAAAGGTACCCCATTTTCTACAATTTCCAACTTTTCCTTGAATTCGGCATCGTAACAATTTGGCAAACTAAAATTATTTAATAACTCATAAATTCCTTAGATTTTAAATTAATATCAGTGTAACTAAATAAGCTTATGTGATTTTTATAATTTAGCAGAAAGCCACACAAGCTTATTATTTATTTGTCATAATGATTTATTAAATTATATACAAAGATCTATTAATGCAATAAATAATAGAAAATATACATACCTTGGTAACTAATTGAGAACTTAATTATAAGACTTAATTGAAAGTTAATTATAACTTATTATTATGTCTTATAATTAAGATTTATTTATTATTAGATATTAAGCCTTATTTATTGATAGTTATTAAGACTTTATTATTAGTTTTTAAGGCTAGTTTATAAGATATGCTATTTCTTTATACTTTTTACGAGTAATTTCAGATGCATTATATATACCTTGGTAAAGGTAGTATGCCATTGTGCGACACTAGTAATTCTTGCAGACGAAACTCGAGAACTTTCAAAGAAATCTTTACATTAGGCAAGGATGCCATCTCTTGTTCTGCCCAGCCTTTATCAGACACTGGTTTTGCAATATGGATTGTACAGTATGGCAACTTGACTTGTCCATCCTACAACAAATATTCGGCGTCTTTTATCAAAAGTACAATATAATTTCGTTTTAAATGTGAAAGAACAATATATTAATTCAGCATAATAATAATACGCTTCACTGTGTGATCAAAGCTTCTCGACAGTAAGGGAAACTAAAGGAAGCTCTACCATCACCGAAGAAGCTCAGACTCGGCTTTCATCCATCATATTTTGTAAATGTTGTACATAAATAATATTTGTATAATTTATAATAATTAGTATTAATCGCATACTTGTACTGTATTACATGGTGATGGTGTGTTTCTATGATCAGGATTGAGCGAGACCATTCTGCCACTCGGATCTTCAGTAATTATGCACACGTCTCTCATTTTATATAATTCGGAGACGCTTACAGAGATCATAAATCGACTTTCGTACATCTCGCGGAACTTGAATAGCGGGAGTTTGTGTCCCGGCACTTCTTGCAGAAGCAGTACGATTTGCGCTCGAATCAGTTGGGGATTTGGTCCACCGATATGAGCATAAGATATCAAGATGCGTTTATAGCCTATTTTACGGCGATGTAATTGTGAAATTGCATATTGTGCATCCGGTAATGAAGGTACTTTGACGCTGGCGGCAAAATTACCGTCCGATTGCATAAATATAGAAATATGACAGCTCTGAAAAAGAGAAAAATCTTTTTGTAACACAATGTATACATATATATGTATATATATATATATATTATATAATCACAATTGTTTAATTAAATAAACTTTACCGAAACATGTTCCATGAATATAGATGTAAGAATCCGCTTCATATCTTTTATATCAGTGCTTTGATCTAAATTTGTCACTTGCAATTCGATGGGCGTATTAGTGCCATTATTAGCGCTAGATCCATTGCGATTATTTATAGGATTGCAAAATTTCTAAAAAAAAGGAAACAAAAATTGAAAAATAATATATATTAAGAGAGAGAGAGAGAGAGAGAGAGAGAGAGAGAGAGAGAGAGAGAGAGAGAGAGAGAGAGAGAGAGAGAGAGAGAGAGAGAGAGAGAGAGAGAGAGAGAGAGAGAGAGAAGAAAGGAAGGAAGAAAAAAATGCATAAAAATTATAAATAAATCACATTAAACTAAGAAAATTTTACAACTTTTAATTTTTAATTAAAAAAAAAAAATCTTTTTCTAATTAAAAAAGAAATACCTCTACTTCTTCATTTTCTGTATCACTCAAAATCGAAGAGCGTGAGGTTTGGTTGTGTTGCCCTGTTCCTTGTAATATACTATTTTCATAAGGCGATGGCGTTTTGTTGTTTCGTGTAGAAATTTGCTGTTGATTCTAAAACAAAAAAATACCTCTTTTTGTTCTTCTAAATATTGAATTAAACAATGGGTTCGTTTTAGCTGCACTGCTGCAAGTTAGAATGAGAGAAATGTATATTTTTTTCACTCAAATTTATTGCACCAGTACAGCTAAAACGAACAAACCCAATACGAGAAAGATAAAAATGTTTGTACCTGACCATGCCATGCATTTTTTTCTCTAGTTGGTGCATCGTATAGAGGAGATGGACTGCGCCGTTTAAAAGAGTTGGATTGCCCTATTGTTATACAATATTATTTTAATAATTAATATATAATATCAATTATCATGCGATGTGAAATTGAAATAATAAAAATTGTTTTAAACTGTTACCATTATAATTGAGTGGAACAGCTAATGAATTATACGACTGCCGAGCTCCAACCCATTCAGAAGCATAAGCAAAGGAACTGTGAGTGCCTCTAATACGCCTAAGGCCTTCGGGAGTTCGAGAAGTTACACCAATAGCAACATTAGTATCTCGAACCTGCGAGACATGAGCTCGTTTTCCTAGTATCTTTGATTTCTCCACCTTTAAATTATCATTTAATATATTATACAAGTAAACATTAACAGTAAACAATGGTATAAGCTAATAAACATAAATAAACTTCATACAAGGAAATACAGATAATCGAGAGACAAAATTTGAAAATATTTATTTATATATGAAACTAACTTTATATTGTTCTTCCCATATATGGTTATATTGCGGTCCTGCAATTGGCCAAATTAAGGGTGACTGTACTCTAGCGAGTTCATTATATGACCTATTAAAAGTCACGTCATTATTGAATGACCTCCCAAAAATATTGGAGGTTGTTGCATCATCCTGTAAAACGTAGAATGAAAATAATTAATTATACATATCTTTATTATACTCTTGCAGCAATTTATAAAATCTGTTTAGTAGTTTATCAGATAAGATCAAAGTCAACACTCATAGCCCGAATCAGCAAGGATAACAATCTACTCGCGACTCTAGAGCTCTTTCTCGGATTATCCATCATTTAAACAAAATATTTTTAAACAAAACAAAAATGAATATTCTGTTAATTTATAAATATATTTAGATTAAGTAAATTTTTAGCAGATTTACCCTGATAATGGGGCATTAATTGGCGCGCAATGCGCATTAAAAGCCGGATAAGCACCAACTACAGGTGATGATGTTTGATAATTTGGGAATTGGAGGGTTCTCGTCCCTAATACAGAGGCACTCGCAGCATACATTTGCTTAGAGTTGCTTTGTTTAGGACTGGTAACAATTTCTGATTCACTGACTGCCCGGCTTCGTGTTATATTTCCTGAAAAACAATATAGAAAATAACAATCTTAGTGATATTAAATCTTACTAATATATGTCATGTTACATTTAAAGAATTTCATCAACGTACCAAGATTTTTACCAATTATATTTCCTTTTTCCTTACAGAGATATTTTACAAGTATTTTTGAACCAAGAACATTTTCTCCTTCCATACGCTTCTGAGCCCTATCACAAATTAAAAAAAATAATAAATAAAAATAAAAAAAATAGAAATGAGACATCATATTGTTATTGTATAGTTAGCTGAACAGAACAGAAATGATTTCTTCTTATAAATGACCTTGCACAGGCACGAGAATATGTAAATATCTATATATGAGTTAATTTTAATAAATATAGCAAATATAGATATAATATATGTAATAATATAAAATATGTATAAGACAAGATATAAATTACTATCTATTTAAAATTTAATTTCAACAAGAAACATGTACTAGTTATAAGATACATACTTTTTAATATTAAACACAAGGCACATTTTTTTCTAACAATGCAAAAATAACTATAACTTACCCCAAACAGAAATAAAACTATCAGTTAACATTGTAATATAACATTTAAATAAATAATAAATACCAATAATATGTATATTAGTCTGCATAAAAATTAACTTTTTATAATAAATTCTCTAATATATATATGTATGGGTATGTGTACTAATGGGGGATGTAAGATAACTTATATTATACAATGTTCTTTGACTTTCCACTATGTTCGTTATGTTACTGCCTGTTACTTCAAACCTTCTTTATTTATCTTTTCATCCCTACTACATCAGAATGTAATGAAGGAGACATATGATTGTTTTTTTTCTTTTTCTTATGTATATACAAATCATCCCTTCTTCTTCTATATCTGGGTTTTCAAATATACATACCGAATCCAATGTAGTAGAGAATGTCAAAGGCTGACTTACATGATAGAGGCGGGTTATTTGAATAAGTTTGTATATAAATGTGCTAATCAAGATATCAGCAAAAAGGGAATATAAATTTCCCTTTATTACAATTTCAATTTTTTGAACATAAATTCCATTTTTTTATTACTATTTAAAATTGTTTTAAATCATAGTTCATTTTAAGTTTGTTGTTGTATATATATTTTAATTTACTAAATTTAATAAAATTTAATATTAATTTGGCTATTTTATATTAAATATTCAAAATAAAAATTTTATAATTTCAAAAAATTAGGTAGTTAGAAAAACAAAATCAAATCTCATGTATGTGTGTGCATATGTATGTATTTTGTGACAATCAGAAAGTTAATAAGATAAATATACCTGTCTGCAGAACTGTGCGACGTAAAGCGTACAATGGCAGTATTTGATTGGACATCTATCACGCGACCACCGCAATTTTCAGATAATTGCTTAAGGCGGCGCTTAATGACATTAACATCCTTTTCATCAGGAAGATTACTAACTAAAAGGTCATAGGATTCGTTACCCTGAAAATATTAAATTCGTGGGTGACTTTATAAGTAAAATGAGTATATGTATGCACACAGGATAAATTAGGCATGCTAGGAAATTTTAACACAATTTGCATATGTATGATACCATAATTAATTTGACATTTATACAAAATTACTTATGTATATATCATTGGTTTTTATTTATGCTCAAAAATATTTAAAATTATATAAATTGTTAATTAATTACTAATTTTGCGAAATGACTAGTAAATACATATAATTTCAAATATTTGTCAATTCTATGATATATATATATATATTTATAAAACTGCTGTTTTTTTTGTATATACTATGCATTATTATAAATAATCTGGATCATACTAAGATATATAAAAAATGTACTAAGATATATAAAAAATTTACACATATACATATATAAGATACAAAATACATTTAAATGTAAGTAAATATATGTATATATATACATTAATTATTTATTAAATGCATGTATAAAGTATACTTTATACTTTTAGTATAATTCAGAAATTTGAAATAAAAAAAATTCTTTTTTCAGTATTATTATCTTCACATACCAGATTTCATACCTTTGCTGGAGTTCTGGACGGAAGTGGCTCCGTAAGCTCCATAAAATCATAATGTTCATTAGCACATAATATTAGTGCTTCTGAGGTATTTTTTTTATGTATTAATATTACATAAATTTTTTTCCTATGACGTAAATCACTGAGATCAGCGGCAAAATTAATATCTCCAGATATTAAGATTATAGCTGCTGGACTGCCATGAATATCCGCAAACCTTCTGATGGACTGTTTAAGTTTTTCATCTGCGGCATTCTTACATGTGGCAGCTACATGTATTAAATTAACCTAGTAAATATATAAGAAAAATAAATAAGTTGAATAATAAATTAATTGCAGCAATGACAAAAGTGTTGCATAGTTATTTTGACACCTGAGCATCATTCAATTCTTGTATAATTTGGTTATTCTCTTTCTGAACATCACAAACTACAATAAATTCTGCTTCTCTATAGCCATTAAAAAATTTATCTCTAATTAATTGCGTAACTGCTATGGCGGATCTGCCTTTAGGAACCTGCAACATCATAATAGAATATCACACATTAATGATAAACTTTTTAAAGAAAGAAAAATGATGAGTAAACCAACTTGACAGTTCTCGATGTCCCAAAATACACCAATAGGTGGAAGATGAATCGATAAAGTTGGTATATTAACTGGACTATCATGATGTAGAAGAGAACACTCGTGTCTACAATGGCTAAATAATGAAGAAGTGGACACATTGAACTCTACTTTGGAATTACTATTATTTTTTAGTCTATCGTCACACGATTGATTTTTGGAAATTTGTGAAAAGGTCTTTTGTTCAGATAACAGTTGTAGAAGTTTCTCATTAAGACCTTCAATTTCATCACTATCATCCGCACAGGATGTACGGTAATCCAAAGATTTCCTTCCTGCCATGTGTTTCACAAATTACCTAATAAGACTCCAATTTGTAGACTGAAATTAAAATGTTCAAATTAATAGTTTGTTTGGCAGACATATATTCAGTAATATTATATATGAATAATTTACATGCGAAAAAACAATTATAGACTTTATCTAATAAAAGATTTGCAGCAAAGAAATGAAAAGCTGGATAATCAAACGCATTACAAAGATATATCTTGCCATTTGGCATTTCGCGCGTTTTAATAAATTGGTTAATTCGAAATGAAATTTAGCCTATATATACAAGTGCATGAAATCAGCGAGCTCGATAAGCTCGATTTAGCGGAGCATAATTAACGATTTGAGAAACGTTTGAGCGTATTTACCTGAGAAATTCAGCCATCGTTTTATCATAACTTTCTATGCAGCATGCAGCGTCTATGCAGAAATGCAACAACCGGCGTGAAGTACCGAATACATAAAACATCACGGAAAAACGTCACAGGCGTATACGTAATTTGTAAAAATTCATGATCCGAATCTGTACGTATACGCGAAAAATCAAATGTGAATCAAACGCGAATCCGCGAAACGTGTTTCCACAATTTTCAGAGAGAGTATAAGCATATATTTCTTTTCAATCTCCCTTCTCCTTCTCTTTTCAACCTCTTTTCTTCTCTCTCTCTCGTCATTTCTGCGCAATATGAAAACATATTCAAAAGTTCCATTCACATCGCACAATCGATAAAGGCAGAATTCGCATGAAGAGACGAATCAAATGGCTTCTTTTGATTGGACTGGAGAATTCTCTGATTGGTCAATCATACTGGATGCCCGAGGTATCGAATAATGTGATTGGTCGTCTTCGAATGCACTTCTTTTCATGAACACTTTAAGGCTGCGTTCGGAAATTCTATTCATTTGATAAAGTACAATACAATTAATCAAAATCTTTTGCCTGTACAAATTAAAGTATTAATATTAATAAAGGGCGAAGCGTTCTAGTTTTAGGTAAAAAACAATCCGTATAGTCAAAAAATATCTAATATTTCTCTGTCCTTTCTTTGCACGTTTCTCTCTTTTCAAGTTTCTTTCCTTTTCTTTGTCTTTGCTGTTAAAGCATTATGAATGAAATAATTTAGAAGTCTATAATTGTTTTCTACATATAAATTATTTAATTCTCTGTCTTTTGTTGCTGTATTTGCACATTTCTCTGTTTTCAAAGTTTCTTTTTACTTTTCTTTGTCTTTACCCCCCATCAAAGCATTATGAATGAAATAATTTATACTTACATAAAAATCTATAATTATTTGCTGCATATAAATTAACTCTCTGTCTTTTGTTGTTATATTTACATATTTCTCTCTTTTCAAAATTTCTTTCCTATTTTTGTCTTCACCATCAAAGCATCACGAATGAAATGCTCGTAATAAAATAGCAAAACACAATAATGTTTCACAAAAGAAAAAGAGGAGTGCTTTCTTTTTTTATAAATTAACATGTTGAAATTTGAAGAAAATATCAAGAGTTAAACATTTACAAGTATATATATATTCTGCTATTTACATATATAAATTTGTGTCATGTATTTTTTAAGTAACATGCTCTTATACTGCATACTGTTAGTTTTATGAATAAAAACTGTCATTATGGTCCTGACGCAGTTTAAGACAGTGTGCGCGACGTTCTATAAATGCAGCCATTCTAGTGGACAGGATGGTAGCGCCTGTCGATATCTAAGAAAAGAAAGAATGAATAAACTTCAAGGGTGGAATTATTTTTTATATTTTATATATAAAAATATAATTTATATATAAAAAAATTATATATAATATATAATTAAATATATTATATATTTCATATATATTATCCATAAAAAAATATAAAATTTTTTTATAAATTATATTTTTATATATAAAAAAATAACTTGAAATCTTTCAAAGATTGTTCTAAATAATCTAAATTATTTTATTATAGTTTCAAACACAAGTTTATTACCTTCAACCACGGCGAAGCAAGACAAAACTCTGCATTCACTCGATCCTCGCCACGCAAACGCAATAATCTTCCGAGGAGCTCTTTTGCGTCGCTAGATATCATCTCGAAATATTCATCGGGAAAACAGAAATCGCACTTGAGTATGTTGGCGGTGGTCTCTTCCATGGAATCGTCCAGAAAAGGTGACAAACCACTACAATTTTATAATATAATAATAATAATTTTATAATATAATAATAGACGCGATATAATAATAATAATGATAAAGATATTTGAGTTATTTATTATATTACAATTTTAATATTATAAATATTCTAAGTATTAAATAATTATATTTATATTATGATTTGAGATATGCAAAATATATTCGAGTAATTGTTTAAAATACCTTAGCAGAACGTAAATAAAAACTCCGATGGCCCACATGTCAGTGTAAGGACCGGTCGGTCTACCTAACACCGATTCCGGCGCGGCAAATTCCAAATCGGCAGGAGGCGGCACAACCTCGTCAATCGGAGTCCTCACCGCTTCTCCCAGATCTATCACTTTCACTTGATCCGTCTCTTGATCTACGAGAACATTTTCAGGCTTCACGTCCAGATGCATCCGGCTGCGACAGTGTAACCAGGACAACGCGGACAACAGCTGACCGGTGTATCGCATCGCTGTCGCTTCGGTGTATTCAGTTTTCTCGCTCAGATATGCAAATAAAGTCGGACCCTTGACCCTGAGGAAAAGCGTTAATTAGAATATTATTTTTGTAACTTATTATATATTTTAAATTACAATATTATATTAAATATTATATATTATATTTATATTATTAAATTATTATATTATTATATTATATATAAAACCTACAGTTCCAGAACGATGGTGTCTATTCCGGGTCGAGGCGCGTTCTCAAACAGAGCGAACGCTCTGATGATGTTGGCGTGATGAGTAGAGGCTAGCACGTCATATTCCGCCCGTGTCAGCAATCTCGACTGCTTGTGTCGTGGAATCTGCTTGAGAGCCACCTCTTGACCAGTGCCCTTGTCTCTGGCGCGACGAACTATGCCGAATCTACCGTTACCCAGCTCGTCCAGCTCCAAGTATCTACCGACGAATTGCTTGGATTCCCATTCAGCCCCACTGTCCGCGTCTAATCTCGATAACGTTACTACGCTTGACGGCGAGGTCATTCTGCCGTCATCGCCTATCACACGGAAGCTGTACGAAGCGTCCGGCGACACATCCAGTACAGCTGGTGGCTCATTAAGCTGCTTCAATATCGGCACCCATCGTTGTAATGGCAAGGTTCGACATTCTATACTACACGACGTGCTACCGATCTCTTGCTTGTCCCAGTCGACTTCTACTTTCGAAGATCCTAAAGCACGTGCTAAAGTGGTACTCTTTCCACCTGAGAAAAAATATAAACGATTTAATAATGTACTATAACTACATACCATATATGAGTTCAATTATTATTATGTACCTGTGACAGATAGAGAGATTCGCGCGAAGCAGGAACCCGTTTCGCACTTGAAGTAACAGTGATATATGCCAGAGTCCGACGCCCGGCAACCGGTGATTTGTAAATAGACGAAACCCATGCTCTGCTGAAACTGATACCGATCGCTCTCTCTTATATACTGATCCTCGCCTTCCTTCCTCCAGGTGACAGTCGCATGATTGTTGCGATCCACGTTGTGCGTCTCGACGGAGAGTCTGACGACTTCTCCGGCGGTCGCGCGAATCGACGTTGGATTGCTCAGGATAGTCGGCGTTTTCTCCTCGGGCATCATCGGCGTCGTCGTAGACTCATCGGCAGCGTGATCGCTTCTCATAAGGTCGACCATCTTTCGTGGTCGAAATGACCAGGCTCGACTGACTGCAGAGTTCGAAATAAGACTCGCCGGAATCCACAGTTCATTCTTGGTGTTAATTGGCGACACCACTAGACCTGGACCATCAAGATGCGAGACAATCAACTCATCCCCGGCATGTAATTTTCCCCAATCCGCGGCTAATCTTACGCAAGCACCTGGAACGACCTAAAGGAGTCCTCCTATTATACATATTTGACATATTTGTGTTGTTCTTTAAACGTATATATTTTTTTCATGCAACTTGCGTCGCGTCGCAATTTTGTATTCACCCAGAGAGCGTGCGACAGAAAGACCCAGGGAGAAGTTCCAGCACTGTGTAATGCATCAACAGTAGCAGCAATAACAGTAGCGGTCGTACATGTCCCGGTAGAGGAAGAAATAATGGCGGTAGCAATGACATCATTTTGGTTTTGACAGATGGTCGGTGATAATGTAGCACAGCAGAGCAATAGCAGTTACAGAGGCGGTATTGATTGCGACGATTCGGCGGAGTGCTAGTGATAATGCTTGTATAGCGACGACGATCGTAAAAACCAATAGTATATTATATGTATAGTGAGCAGAAGATGCGTTAGTTGGAAAAGCGGTAACACAAAGCTTGAAGAATCAAAAATGTACAGTAAGACAAGAGCTTCATCTTTTCATTTTCCTAATGGTTACTCCTCCTAGAGATATATATGTATTTGTTTTACGCGCGACGTATAAGATCCATCTTATTACACCAGGAGATATGTAATTCAGCGTATGGCATTCATGAACATTGCGATCGTTTATAGTCTCGATAGAGTTTTTTTAATAAAATATGACTTATCGTCGCACCGACAGAAGATAATGCAATAGATAGCAGTAGATAGCAACAGGCATCAAGAGGAAGAAGAGGAAGGAGAGCCCCTTTGCTGCAATCATCAAGAATTCTAAAATTGATGATTGATCTAATTGATAAATGTATATGTATAAGCTCCAAGTGGCAAAGACCACAATCAGGAATTGGCTCACCGGAATGGAGTTGTTGCGACCCGGTGAGCGTGTGCGTAAAGTATTCTTAAATCCTTCCAGGAAGTTTAGCCTACTCTTTGTCGGGCTGGGTGTACGTGGTTGCGTATGCTCCAATCCACCGGTATAAGAACGCTGCAACGTTGGCTGCTGACCCGTCCTTACTCGATCGTTACTCTTTCCTCGGTTCGTCGACTGTCCAGGGACTATCAGCGTCGGAGGAACCGATACAGTCGCTCGACGTTCTGACGTGGTGCTGGTGGTGGTGATGGTGGCACGACTACACGCCAGCAAATCATAAATGAAATCCAAGACACAGTACTACGCGTCGAGACTCGCGAACTTTGATCCTCGCCATTAATTAAATGCACAAATAAATATTTTTTCTTCGTCTTGTCAAAAATAACTTCAATAAATGACTTATAATATTATTAAAGTTTTACAGCGATTGGAAGGAACGAGTCTCGGCAGTCTAAGCCAGGATACGATGTCGGCGTTAACTTGAATCTTTTTCGTACGTGTCGAAGAATAGATGAGGTGGGTGCTTAATAGCAACGCGTGTCAACAGACAGGGTGGGTGGTGGGTGAGTGGTTGGTTGTGATCGCGGTAGATACACATACTTGGGCTTGCGCTTCTCGCAGTACTGTGTTCTTGATGAAATTATAAAGAAAAGAAGCTCCGGTTAGTCGGGGGTGGGCGTGTATATTAGATAGTAGGACAAGGGGGATACACAATCATTCCGTCTCTCAATCATTAATTTACAATTTTTATTCTAGACAAAATTCTTATGATTCGCGGGTCAATTATATA